TGAGGAGTGCCAATGGCTTAGGACTCTTGAAGACATGGCCCGCAACCGGAATCAATGGAAGAATTGTGTACAGTATTGTATTGATTCACATGTTTAATACTACCAACATTGAAAATGACAAAAAAAGAGAAAAATCGGCGTGTGACAAACAAACTAAAAATGTTTTGTTCTGTATTTTTGTCAAAATGTTCCATTCTTCTTGCGGCATATTAGCTGAAGTGTGTTGCCCACCTTCAACTACCATGCCACGATGATTATGACGCATTGTCTGTCTTCTATCCACTGATCTCCATGGCTTTGGTGGCTCTATGTCTAGTTGCTAGACTGTTGAGATTGCATGCATACCTACATTTTACTGGTGAGTAGCTCGACGTACTGGGGATGTGTTAAGTATGAGTGACTCCTTGGGCCGACACTTTTACCCTTCCGTTAATTATTGTTAACAAAGATGGCCCGAACTTACTTGATAGAAACTGGCTCAAACATATAAATAAATAAATTTGTATATTTACCGGCGGACGGTACACGGCCTCATAAGTGTTAGCGATCATTTGCCATCAAAAAGCGGACCATATTCCAGACATTCCTTCACTGTTGAAAATGTACGCTTGTTTGGTGAAATATCACCCGGTAAACTACATGACTTCAAAGTCTCTTTCCATATCAGACAGAACGCCCGCCGAAATTTTTCGAAGCAAGGAACTTGCCTTCCGCTGTCCGTCCGGAAGTTGAGTTAGTGCTGGAGCGCGTCCAAAATGATGGAATATTATCGCCAGTACACCACTCATTTTGGGCCACGCCGTTTGTTCCAGTACAGAAACCCATTGGCGCCGTCCGTATCTGTGGTGACTACAAATTGACTGTTAACCAAGTGGCGACGTCCGAACACTACCTATGTTACGGATAGATGACCTATACGCAACTCTTTCAGGTGGCAAAAAGTTTTCCAAACTTGGTTTAAACCACGCTTACTCCCAAGTAGAGCTGCATGAATCTGCCAGGGAGATAACAACCATCAATGCGCACGTGGGTTTGTCCCACTACAACAGACTTCCATTTGGAATACATTCTACACCGACAATATTTCAGAAGATTATTGACAATTTAGTGAAAATAATAGCTGGTGTATGCGCTTATCTAGATGACATTCTAAATTATGGCGGCGCTGATCACGAACACATGACATCGCTTGCGACGGTCTTGTAACGTCTCCAGGACAGTGGACTCAAGCTGAAGGAATCCAAATGTGTATTTTTCGCAGGCAGTGTTCAGTACCTTGGATTTCGTCTGGATAAACACGGTTGGTAACTACTAAGGGAAATAATCTAGGCCATCCTTGCTTCTCCGAGTCCACGCACAGTCAGTGAGCTGCAATCTTTCCTTCGTATGGTAACACAATATAGTTGCTTCCTACTTGATTTGCCCACCACCATTGCAACACTGTACGCTTTACTACGAAAATATACTAAATGGTAGTAGTCAGCTAAAGAACAAGTCTTTCGATGTTGTCAAGGCAGTCATGGATAAGGCTAATCTGCTAGTACATTTTGATTCGAGGAGGCCCATCACTTGCTGATGTGACGCCCCAGCATCAGGGCTCGGCGCTGCATTGTCTCACAAAATGGATGATCCAACTGAAAGACCCATCGCTTTTGCATCTGGGAGCTTACACCGGCAGAGAAAACCTACGCACAACCGGATATCGAGGTGTTGTCGGTTATATTCGGGGTTATGAAATTTCACCAGTATCTTTGGGGAAGAAGTTTCGAAATCCTTGCTGATCATAAACCCTTATTAGTCTTGATTGGTGAAAGTGAAGACATCAACCAGATCTCATCGCCGTAAACAACGTTGGACCTTATTGTTATCGGTTTACAATTACACTATTATCCAGTTCCAGCAAATGTTTAGCTACAGTACTCCAGAACGTGGTGGATTTTCGCCCGTCAAGCGTTCTTCCTATAAAAGCCCACTAATGTCTCTTTAACAACACTGCGAGGAGGCGGATATGACTCGCTTTCAAATGAAATCACGGCCCTAGGTTACCCAGCCAACCACACACCCCCACCACGGACGTCCCTCAACTCTTCTCACACTATCCACACGATCAATCACATATGCAGCTACGCAATTCAATCCTACATACATGTATGAACTCACAGCTCCGTTGTCCATGGCTAACTTGCACCATTTTAGACGTTCCTCGACATTTAGTTTTATCGTTACGATGATCATGTCTACATAGTCATGTCTCTAATTGTCCGAGAATAAGCGTTTTATTTATGTCCCTGGAAAACTAGACGGCAGTGCAGGGATCTTGAGTCGGTTGCCGTTGAATCCTCTGCCAGATTGTTTATTGGAACCGACTGAATTAGTCCATTTAATCCAGCACTTGACCAGGAAACCGGTGTTGAATGCGGATACCCGCTGTGAGACAGAGCGTGATCTACTCCTCAGCAGAGTTAAACGCCTGGTCTTCCATGGATGGCCCGATAAATTTGGCGTGGAAGTGTTGTCTTACTTCACCCATCGTACAGAACTGCGCCTCGAGGATGACTGCCTCTTATGGGGGTCCAGAGCTATTATGTCGCCTCGGTCACGAAAGTATGTAATGGAGGAACTGCATGAAACTCACTCAGGTATCACTCGCGCGGTCTTATGTGTGGTGGCCCGGCATTGATAGCATCATAGAAAGATTGCTCAGACACTGTGCATCATGTCAAAGTACACAAAGAAATGTCCTGCCACTGAGTCCCTGGAATTAGCCCGACAAGCCATGGGTGTGCACACATGCAGACTACTTTGGTCCGCCTGATGGGAAGATGTATATTCTTATAATCGATACCTATTCCAAATGGACTGAGGTAATTTCGTTGCCACACGCCATTTCCGTGACAACTGTTTCCTGCATGCGAACATGTTTCAACACACTAGTGCCAGACAACGGCTCTGTATTCACTAGCCAACAGTTCCAAGCTTTCCATCCAAATAACGGCATCAGACATGTGAAGACCGCCCCTTACCACCAAGTCTCAAACGAACTAGCGGAAAGAGCAGTCCAGACAGTGAAAAACGGGTTGCAGGAACAATCACCCGCTCCACTCCGAACGAAGTTGGACAAGTTTTTATTTGCTTACCGCTGTACCCCTCCAGGGGAACTGACGTTCGGCCGAAGGCTTAGGGCGCGGCTAGACCTACCCTTTTCCGACAGATTACGCATCGAGATGCGGCAGGAGAACTCAAGCGGTGCGATCGAAAGGCATGTTGAGCACTCCGTGAGGACGAGCCAGTTTACGTCAAATTGTCCCACGAACGAACTTGACAACCTGAAGAGTTACGCGAAATTGAAAGCCAGAGAGCGAAGGTTGCACTACCGGACAACAGGGTGATTATCCGTCATATGGATCACGTCCGCCGTCGTTTCGTTTCAGCGGGGCCAGAAGACATATTGCCAAACCCGTCAACCGAGTCAGTAGCCGCGGAGGCCACACGGGCCACAAACAAGCCAGAAGCTCAACCAATACGCGGTTCGACTAGAGTCCGCCATTCAATTGCTCGTTACCAGTCTGCCTGGGGGAGTGCCAAATAAAGAGAGAAGGCATGTGGCGTATGAGTCACCATCTCCAATCCATGTTCACACCAGCATCGACCATGTGCGTCTGTCTGTCTATGGATTACCCACTCACAACTGGCTTGGCTTCAGTTACTTGGTCGATGCTCTGTACTCGTTCTGGCCCGAATACATGTTTGCATGTTGCTAGCTAGTCGTATTCTGTTGTCTTTGCGTCATTCGGCTACGAGCCATTATTGCGTTCGCAGGCTAGCGTTACTTACGCACATGTAGCTTTTAACATCCTTGTGAATCCGATTCGTCTTGTCGACCCTCATAAAATTTCCGCTACCTTGCTGTTTAGAATTTGTGCCAGCGATTTCGAAGGCAGATCACACACTCTCTCTCTGCATTGGCGTGAGTGGTCCGTCAGTTTCACGTTCCATTTACCATCACCTATCAGCGAAGTATCGTTGTTCTTGCTCTCTTTTGGTTGATTTTCTGCATGGCGTGTTTTACCACACTGGTCTTTGAAGTGGATTTTATGCTGGGTCCAGAAAGGCTTGTTTTCAGTGATTACATTTTGCTTTGTGCTACCTTTTCCAAACCAATATGTTCTTTCCCTTTCTTAGTGCCATGAATAGCTCTGCTTTAACTCTGCAAATCGCGGTCACAATTTTTATACTAATGGTTTTCTGTTATGTGAAACTACCATCTTCTTAAATAGCTCCAATTTTTTGAATACCAGTGTGTGAAATTAACTGACCCATTTCGTGTTTACGTTTAGCTATACTGTTAACATTAGTTTTCCTCTTACTTTTAATGACATTATTTATTCATTTTCACACCTAGCCATCAGCCCAGATGCTTTATTCCGTACACTTTACTTTGCTCTTAGGTTTTTACTACACAGGCTGGATGTTTATTTTGGTACCTTAACTTCCTCTCCGTGCTTACCAACCAGCATGCTGAGTTAGGAAAAGTAAAAGTTTGGTCCACACGAGGGACTTGTTGTGTACAGCAATATAATGGAATGCCTACTCTGTTCACTCAATGAAATCTCTGTGTAGTGACGTTTTGTATTACGCATGTATCTCTTATTTATTGTTTTGCAAGAAAAAGTCAAGTGAAGACAACAAGGGCGTATTTTGTACAAAACAAATTTCTACTTCACTTAAGATGTCCTGTCAAGTAGTTCTTTGGGGCCGCCACACCTTGCGTTTAAGAATCAGGAATATTATCTTAGCATATTATCGAATTCACAGGAATCCAAGAGTCGGTCCTCAGTTGTTTTTAGAAGTGGCAGCCTCTTGTAGGTGGATCTGAAGTGCAGGTAACATCCTAATTTAAGAATTTTGCACTGATCAATGTATCTACAATGATCATTGGGTTGCTCAGTCATTATTGTCGCCCAGATACTTTCTGACTTTTATCACCTATTACTTATTGAATGTGGCATTGCTCTCCATATCACACCGAGTTGCCTGAAGTGTATTTGGCCAAGTGTTTACTTGAAGACATCAGCAGCACGCCGGTACGCATCCCCAGCGCTTCGCTGTCGCGCAACCACCACCAGTCGCACGTGGGCTAAGGATACTGCGAGGGTCTCCCGGTCTCTACGCAGGCTCGAACCTGCGTCTTAGGCAGGCTTGTGATCCTTAGAGCTACTGGCTGGCGGTATTTAGTAGATTAAGACGTATGCGATATCTCGGGGACTCGGCTCCTTCCACCTTGTATCACGGGTTTCACGTGATCTACGTGTTAGGGACAGCCATCCGCTTAGCTTTTAGTAATGACGTTGTTTCTGTCATCATCTAATGCGGTTGACCTGTTAGTCTATGTATATCGGTCACCCAGCATTAATATTGTCGACTAATGTGCAATAAAGAATTAAGGTAGCTTTACGGGCCCCTCTTATTTGGCGAAGTTCGGAAACTCTTTATGACGATTTTATTGCTCACGCTGAATGTGTCAACTGGACTCTTGGATCCCTTTTCCGCTATAGAGAAAGCCTACTTTAACTCACAAAACATGAGTTTAGATCTAATTTAAAACTCTACGAAGTCAAGCATCCACACAGTGTTTTGAATTTTGAAACGCTTTTATTACTTTCCCACCGTCTTATTTAGGTAAGAGAGGGTTAACGCCATCACGAACCGCATTACGAGGAAAGAACAGGTTGAAAATTACTGAAAGGAGTGATTCGCGGTTGTCACTCACGTCGGTTGGACAAAACTCTAACTCGCTGACAATCATCACGTTCAACCATTCCATTCACTTACTTCTTGTGTGTTGCTTACACTGGCTGATAAATGTCAATAACTAGTCATACAATGGCACTATTTCCCAACAGTATTATGAAACCAAAGTAGGGGACTGAGAAATATGACAACTTCTGGGCAACTACGGATCCTGATGCACTTGGCTTATACGCTGTCCATGGACTATGGTTAATCGACAAGTATGGTATTAAGAGAAACACATGTTACTTTAGTTTGCGCACATTGTTACCGACTGGTTCGAACTTACGAATAAGATGGCATCCTCACAGCATCCCGAGGACGCACGCGATCGGTTGCGGTCCCGTGGCAACGAAATGTCTGTACCGCGTGTCGGTACATTTTTCTGTAACAAGCTGTTTGTGACCGCACTAACATCAAAGTACAATCACATTGTCCCGAAGCCTGTTTTCTTGGCGATCTCAAAATCTTGCTCTTCTGATTTCGAAGTAGTGCGTCCATTGCATCTGCCGATTCTTATGTGCTTGGATCCGATTGCCGGCTCATCCTTCCGTAGCTTAAAGGTAACGAACTTGTCTTGTAATACGACGGCACCGGTTCGAGCCTGCGTAGGAGCAAGGCGACCTTCGTAATATCCTTAGCTCACATGCTACCGGTTGTGGTTGCGCGGCAGAGGAACTTTGGTAATGCCTACCGTCGTGCTACTGATGCCTTCATGGTTCCATAAGGTACTAGAGATGACCGCTTGTGAACTCATGTGTCTTTTAAATTCCTTGCTTATTTTGTGCATTTTCAGTTCTTTTTGATGGGCTTTTTTGATGTGCCGTTAATCGTGCTTGCCAGCTTGCTCAAAATCTTGCATTCGTTTTCGTTAGTTCTCGCCTTTGTCTAACTTTGGCTGCCTTTTTGCCATCTTATACAGGAATTGGATCGGATGCAAACAGAACTTCATGATGTCCATGTGCCGATCGAACTGTTTTCTAAAATTGACGCCGGGCAAAATCCCCAGCTATACACCCGAGAGTTCATGGAACAAGCACTGGCAAAAAACGAGGCCGTTCGGGGTAAGCTAGACAGTCTGCGTCGTTTCCGTACCCTCCTCATGGCAGAGCTTTCTCTCCATTTTCCGAATGAAATGGCCAAATATCGTGCTGTTCGGGGTGATCCCGAAATTCCCAACTTTCCTTCCGCCAACTTGTCCGGATACTCGCAGTCAAATGGTTCTGGAACCGAAACTGGTCCTGATTCTGTCATTATGCGATAAATTTCACTTTGAACCTAGCTTCAGTTCCCTTGATTTATCTTTTTTTGAAATTTATCGATATTGTACAACTGTGTTCGATATTTTTGTAACTACTTGTATGATTTCCCTCCACACACAACTTCTGCTCGTAGGCGGGTCAGATTCGAGATTTCGCTTTGTGTTCGCGCTCCAGTCAACTATTCACCTCTTGGTTTCACAAGCGCATGAGCCTCAGTAACTCATTAAGGCCACAGCAAATTTTCTATTATTCCAGCTGCGAAATAACTGTTTGAGAATAAATACTGTTTTGCTTTCTGTGTATTTCTCCTTGCTTCACTTATCCTTCGGTACTCGAGCGTAGGATCGAACGAATCACGACAACGCATCGAACCTGGCCGCACTTGCCTTGGGCTTCACTCAACTTCAAGTTTTGCTGCCTATGCTACGGGCCAGTTTATTGGAAGCTTAGCCCCACCCGAGCATCCAGATATCGAACTGGATGTCATTTACTCCCAACACTCAATAGCTATAGCGCTTCAATTGATCTTTGGCTTGCAGTAGCCAAGCAGGAGCTCTTAGCTTAGCCGATAGTCAGTGGCGGCAGCTGCTCTTTTGTTGACCGTTGTCTGACAATCTTATCCTCTGAAGACGGGCTGCTTTTTCTCCAGACGAGTATCGTGCTTGTACCACTTGCTTCAGTTGTCTGTGGTATACCAAACGAGTCAATGTGAATGAGTCAGTAACTGATGAAAATAGAGAGCTTATTCACCGATTACTTTGAAGCGGTTTGCCGTTTCGATCACTGAAACCGCATCCGAAGTGGAGAACTTCGGAGCTGCTTCAAAGCAAATCTTGACCTCAATCAAGATTGCGTGTCACAATCCAGACGCACGATGGATACTCCAAGACCCAACCCTATTGCTCCGAAGTGCTTATATGCATCATGTTGCTGCGGGTTACTTATCTTCGCGATAGTTAGATGCGAATATTGGACTAGCTTTCGTCCTGGTGGAGAACTCACTTATCACAGCTGGTACAGCATCATCAGCTTACAAACAGCTCGTCACGGTAGTATTCATTGACTTAGAGGCCATGTACGCTGTTACTGAACGCGTTTGTTTGTCGTGGTGTCTAGGATTGAATGGGGTTCCGGAGCAATTCTTTTCCCTGAATATTTCAAATCCCGTGGTCGCTTTTTGGTTTACAATAAACCAAGTTCATCGGGAATGCTCTATCTCGCCATTTGCTTTCATCCTTGTGATCGAAATGCTCGTGGATATTTTCTTCTGCAATTTCTCCTGTAGCTGAATTCCTTTGGGTGCCCGGTTCAAACTACTTCTCATCAGCGACAAACATGTCCAGGACTACTCTACGGAGCAGTCTCTGGAGTTCCCAACTCCTCAGCGGTTCTTTCAACTTATTCACTTCGCTTATTCAGCTTACCAGTTAGTTTAGTGTGCAGCCTGCTAGGCTCTTCAGTCAGCACATTAACTCATGCATGCTTCTCGAATGTGCAGTGTATAAGCTGTAGCATGGAACACTACTCTAGCTTCGGAATGAGTGTCCGGTTGCTTAAAATAATAACCTATTGCTAACGGTGAGTTCACCCTCAAAGTGAAAGACCAGAGTTCTGTTCTGGGACAGTTTCTTCTTTCCCATTCATCTACGTAAGTTGGTCCTCTCCATCAGGTTGCAGAGCTCCTCTTCTTCTGTTCGACGTCTCGGTTTCTACCAACACTTGTGCGAGGTAGCAGTGCTATGCGCCCCAACTATCACACTCTAGCCTTCTTGTTTTTTGTTGTCTAGATATCACACTGCAGTTTTTTGCAATGTAACTTTCGGAGCCCGGTTCCCTAACATCTTCAAAATCATATTTTTGACGGCGATTGAATATCCACTGCAGACGACTTAGAACTATGTGAGTGACTCGTAGGCAGTCATCGTCGGCTTGTTATCAGTGAACACAATGGTCTTACTGCATAGTATCTGCTCATTGAAGCGCTCCAGAGCACAAACGATCGCAAACATCTCTTTTTTAGTGTGAGCATATTGATGCTTGGCCCCGTTGTCCGGTTGAGAAAACGTGTGGGTTTTCCGCTCAGTACGAACTCCCGTACGAACTTCGAGTGGAAGAGGCGGGTCGCAGCAATCGAAGACTGCGGTCTGTTATCAGCAGCTTGATATGCTTACCTGCTTTCCACTGGCTTTCACTCTTATGACAACCTGCTTTGACATCCTTAAGTCATCTTGGAAACTGATTACCCCTTCCAGCCTGCCAATATCTTTCATGTATACCCCGCTGTGAACATACTTTTGGTGACGATTTTTTGTATTTCGCAATATCCATTATGACCATTCTACTGGACCTGTTTAGCTTCTTTACCAGTATAAAACCATTGTTTTGTAGGATCGTTTTCCCTCATTGCTCACGCCTTGTCAAAATCCGGCTTCTTCTCACTTAATTACAGTTCCCATCCGCCTGATCCAACCTCTGCCTTGCTCTTGTTAATCTAGTTTTGTGCTTTTTTCAGCATAGCGTCACGCGACTCAGTGCATTTTATAGGCATGCTCTTTACGTGATGTCGCAAGCCTACACGTTGTTAGCCATAGAAGCTTTTCCGGATTGGTTGATCGTCTATTGCTTGCAGTAAGCATTTTTGTAATATTCTTTATTTTCAGAGATAACCGTCGACATCTAAACTCCCCGCTAGATTTACCAACTGTGGTCGGGGTACTTACTGCAACTGGAACGTTATCATGTGAACATTTTATGAGCTGATATAAAGTTTCTCGTAGGTCACTGCCAGAAGTTCCCTCCAAAACGACTGCTTACCAACCGAATAAGAGTTGTCAATAACTCCTACTCTCGTATATGCTTCTGACACTGGAATCACTTTCCTGTATGTATACCAATGCTCAGGGACTCTTCAACAAATAATCTGAGCTTGAATCTCGGTAAGCCCCGATGTCTTTGAACCTGATCATGATGACTGACACCTCGCTAAACGACGAAATAACTGAAGTGGGTATCGCTCTAACACGCATTGTCGTTCTACACAAAGATTTACCTAGTAGGGGGTGACATAATTTTTTTTAACCATCGCAGTGACCTGCATTTTCAAATCGTTGACGACCAAGGGATTCAAGTTGTTGACTCACATTGGTGCCGCGTGCTCCAGTGTTTGTTGACCTAGTATGCCGTTTTCTATGTCAACTCGGAATTGAGACTCGCATAGCATCTGCTCTAAAAATCGTTCTGGATCAGCCTACCACTCACCTCCTCCTCGTGAGAGAATTCACTTTACACGCTCTGAAAGTTCCAGTCTCTTAGTGAACAGTCTAAGGCCGAACTGTAAGGACGAGTCGCTGGTCTACCAGTTCATAATCACGTCACATAATGGATTAAAAATGGGAACAACCCCGCCATTTTGGACCTCGTGTTTACTAATGATCGACGCAATAACAGTGTGTAGCCCCTTGGGGTGCAGAGATCATGTAGCTCTTCTATTCCGGTACGTCTGTACACTGTCTGTACATTTCAACAGGGATTTCCAGAAGGTCCGTATCGTATCGCATCACATCATTCTATCCGACCTCACCAGTGTCGCCGCTCATTTTTGGCTGAAAAATCCGCCGATGTCACTTGGAAGGAATCCGCCAATTTGTACGGCGCTATAGTAACAAACTCATCAGGAACTAAGATCCTTAACTCAGGCAAGGTAAAGTTTTTACTGAGGTGCATAATGCAGAAACGAATGACCCAGCGAGATTCACTTGGGCAAATCTACATAGCCAATACAAACGCCGAAACCTGGAATACCTACATAAACGAGCGAAACCATTTGCGCCGGACTGGTCCGCGAGCACAAATTGTGACGTTAACAGGGTTTAGCGGAGATGCGAAACTACTTTACAGGCAAGTTAACGAACTCCGTTAAGTACAGCGAAACATCCCTGCTCTAAACACTTATGTGAGCAAGCGCAAACTGCGCAGTGAGCAGGTAACGCTCTTTATCATCAACTCGCTTGTACTTCCCAGAACGCACAGCCATTTCTTAGCCTTCTCACTCAGATCACGTCACCACCAGGACTTAGCCACGTCTCCTACACTTCCACGTGTCGAGTAGCCCTCCGGAAATCAAAAGGACGGCCGCGATCACGAAGTCTTTTGTTAAGATTACGCATGGGTATTTACAGAGTACACACACAATATGCATGGGTCTACTCCACTGGCTCACTCTTGTTATTCGTCTTATGTCGCTGCCTCTGCTTCTATTGGTTTACGCTTGTTCGCAACTGTTATAATTGCGCAGATTGCCTTAGTCGTCGCCGCTGTTATAATTGCGTCGCCACGGTTATAATTGAGGGAACGCCGCCTCTCGATATGGATTGCGTAACGCCTGATAAGATTGTTGCTGGCCCGATTGGAGCACGCCTACGATAATTGCTTGTAACGCTGGCCAATCGAACGGAGTTGCGCTGACCTGATGACGCTGGCTTAGCCGGGTGAGACGGAAAATTGAGCGAGCGTGTGACCGATCCTAGCCGCAAGTGTTCGGATAGACGCTGACCCCTCGGAACGGGCGCACACGAGAGGGGGGGGGTACGATTGACGCGCGCTAATGACCTAGACGCGAAGGCTGGTCAGCTAAAGACTCACACGCT